AAGTGTGATTTTATAATGTGAAGAGCTTAGAAATCTGCCAAGTCCTTAAGAAATGTTATTTTTATTATTATGTAGCCATTGTGCCAGCCTTAAAGAAGTGAAAACGTCTCTCCCAAATGAGAATAATATAACCAACACAAAAGAAGTTGGCATTTCTGTCCTTAACTGTAGAGAAGGATCACTTTCAAATCCTTTGATCTATATTAAAAAATTTTGACAAGATGCCAGTTTAATATAGAAAGCATGGAAAATGAGCTTTAGTTTTATAGGTGTATTTTCAAAATAGTATTTAATACCTCATTAAAGTTTGATAGCTTCATCTATTGGAATGGTAAGCGATCTGAGTTAATCTATCTGCGGAAACCTGGGTATGAGACAAATAAACTGTTTACATATAAAGGAGAGAACATCTCAAGCAGAGATGCAAAGATAAGTTTGTAGACCATGTCACCTCCCGGTACGCACTGTCCCTGTTATGTACCAAGTATACCTAGCATGTTAATCGATCCCTTTCTTGATTTCTACAACTACTCAAGCCACTGACTCAAAACCTTTATATACTTAATATATTAGTTGAATGCTGAATGAGTACAGCATGAGTGTCTTCAGCTGACGTAAAGATTCATCTTTTGTGGCACTGGAGCAGCTCTAGTAAGTTAAACTAGAACACTTACTGAGCAACATGCTGACGATTTACCTGGGTAACATTTATGTTGTCATCTTGCCTAGAAGCAAATGCAATAGCTGCTTCCTAACTGTCAGGGACTCTTTCCTCATGTTTTTGCTCAAGTTAAATAAAGAGAGGTCATAGGGAGAGAGAAACCAGGCAGATTTCCAATTGCTACTTCAGTGCAGAGATAGACCTCGGGCAAACAAGTAGTTAATGAAGACAGTCCCACTCTCTGACCCACTTTAAATAGCAACAGTTTTCAAATTCAAAAAATCTCTTTGTAAAATATTTCAAATTTAGAAAGTCTCTGTTAGTAAAAAAAAAAAAAACAAAAACAAAACTAGTAAACACAGATAAATTTCTGAAATTGCAAACAGCTTAGTCCTAGTCCTGCACTACTGCTTTTTATCATTTGATTTGATAGGATACTACATATACAAATTGGAAATAAAGCAAATAAAAATAAATTATAGCAGTTTATCATTTCTTCTGTTAGTGTTTATGCTATGCATAAAAATTTTTGTGTAGCTCAAATTGATAGTCAATTGCAATTTATGGTTTTAGATTGATCAAATATATTTTATGAAATGTTTATTATATAACATACTCTCCAAATTTTCTCATGGCATGTAATATGTACTCTTGCAATATATAAAAGAAATTAAAACAAGCACTATGAGTTTATGTCTACAGAACAGAACAATATACAAAACAATAGACCGTGTGTGTGTGTGTGTGTGTGTGTGTGTGTGTGTAGGTCATACATTTAAAAAAATATTAACAAAAAACCATCTGTTTATAACTACTCTTTGCAAAACTCAAAATTAGCAGTAGGAGAGATATAGTATTCAGAGACCCCATCATCATACCTGAGTTTGATGCTTTGCTAGGAAGATTCACAAGACTCAATGTCTTTTTCATGGCTATGATTTATTACAATGAAAAGATGCAAAACAATATCAGGGGAGGAAAAAGCACATGGGGCAAAGTACAAAGGAAATCAGTCACAAACTACCAAGGGTCTTCTCCTAGTGGAATCACAAAGGATGGGCTTAATTCTTTTAGCAATTAGTTGTGTCAGAATGTGTGGAGTGTTTTCTAACCAGGAAGCTCATTAGAGACTCACTGCTTAAGGTTTCTGTTGTGTTGCTGGTCACCTAAACATTCTCTGTCTGGCATGTACCAAAATTCCAGACTCCCAGAAAGAAAGCAGATATTTAGCATAACAACATTGAAAAACATTTTAGGCATGATGAGCCCAGTCTTATCAGTTAGGGAATGGTGAGAACACTTCTGAAATCCAAGTTCCCAGATACCAGCCAAGAGCCAACCTTGAAAGCAGGCCTTTTTATGGATGGCAATCTTAGCCCTTGCTGTGCTGACACTTTTCTGCATAACAGTTAAAAATACAAGTTTTGTAATCAGATGACCCTGGGCTCATATCCACATTCTACCACTTATACTGATGTGATCTTGAATAAGTTATCTAAACACTTAGCACACCTCTGTTTTATCAACTGTTAATAGCTTTAATTAAGCAATTATATCATCGGATTGCCATGAAAATCACATGCAGTGATGCCTGTATAATTCTTAGCACACTGCCTGCAGAAAGTAATACCTCAATAAATGTTGAATAATAATAGTATATGTGACAGCTACTTTCATAGATCTTAGAATAGAAAGTATGAATAAGATTCAAACGAATAAAAAGGAGAGTAAGTGTTTTGTTTCTGTGTGTTACCAGCTACAAGTCTAACAGTTTTAAGAGTGGGCAAACTCTTAATTTGTAAGGATTCATAGAAGCTTCCTTGGCAGAATACATAATCTTTTGCTAAGTGTTGTGGAACCACACACAAAAGACAGAAGTAGCTTTTAGAAGACAAAGAAGTAACTGAAATATGGGTGACAGTATTGGGATCCTTACACTGCTCTGTGATAATGCTCTCCTTTACAACTCCATAGCTAGCATGAACATGGTCATTATACTTGACACTAAAAATTCTTAGATTGGAAAATAGGATCAAAATAAATTAGCGGGTAGATAGTCTGATTTAGATACATTCTGATACTTTCGGGAATTTTTCGGAAATGCAACATTATTCTTGCACATCATTTTCTTATAACTGCTCGACAAGCAAATAGAACAAAGAATTTTGATGAACAGTAACTGCTCAGCTTAGATGTGGGCTCAGATATAACTCTCAGCAGGTAGAGAATTTTCTTTTTTGACAACTAATGATTAAACATCATGATTACTTTGAAAACACATGCTGAGTAAAAAGTTCTGAAAAGATTGAATAAATAAATAAATGAATGAATGAGCTCAGAATATGATTAGGCCTATGACTCATCAAAAAGGGATACCTGTGAAGCTAGCTCATGTTTAATAAAAATCTCGTTTGATGAGGATTTATTTTTTTTGAAATTTTATGTCTTGTTAATACAGTAAATCAAACTGCTTATAGGATGGGGAGGGGCAATGGATGGTGTTGTGTTTTACACCTAATGTTAGATGCTTCTTCAAGATAATATTAAGCATTTAGAGATTCTTTATAAAATAAGTACATTTCATTTTATATCATAATTGTAATTTTGATCAACTATTACAAAGTAGAAATATTTTATATTTTATAATATAAGTATGTAATATTAAAGGGTAAGAAGCTTTGATTATTTCTGAATAATCACTTATAAAAGTATATCTTTTTTAAACTAGAGAAAAGATTATAGATGAATTGTGTAACTATATCCCTTATATCATTTAAAGTATATAACTTAAAATATTTTTTAAAATTAGAACTTTGACTGCATCTTGACTCATCCCAATGTAGATATTATCAAAGCCTCCTCAAAAAACAAACAAAAAACCAAATGCTAACACTTCTAGACATTTTTAGTAGCTACCCTAATTAATCACAATAATGGAAGAAAGCTTCAATATGATTATCCTAATCTATAGATATAATTACTTTCCATACACTACAATTTTAGTTGTGATGCATAGCCTATCTTCCATTTTCAGTTTACACATTTTGGAAAGACACATTTATAAAATATAGTAATCAGTTAACTCATTTGTTAGTTATCCAGGCACCACATAGAAAATAGTATATGTGATATCTATGATACTGAGAGAAGAGACTATTGTAATTAATCTAAATAATCAGTAAATATTTAGAACTTTAATTATCAAAAGAGCTTTTCTAGATGTAAACAGATTGTTTTAATCATTTTAATCATTTATGAATATTTCATATGAACATATGCATCGGAAAAGATACATTAAAAATATTAAAGCATTTCAAAAACTTCTTCCCACTCAGTATCTGGCTCTTCTAAATTAGTGGAGTCTAAAGTCTCAGTGTTCACGTTTCACACAGAAATTGTTCTCTTCACTGATGAGGATGTGTATTTTAATTGAGAGATCCACCGTTTTCTCTGGTAATTCCATCTAAACTACTGCATCCATTCTGTAAATTTGAGGTTGGTACTTTATTGACCTTACCAGAATGTGTCAACAGACTATTTCCAGACAATGAGAATTTCATGTTGTTTTTTCAAATGAGCCTCAAATGGTTTGATTGAAATGGGAGATATTGCCATTGTCCGGCCAAACCACAGAAATAACAACCAAATTCAGCATGCATAGGTAATGATAGCTACATTACTACTTATGACTGCCACCTGATGAAGAGATTGTTAAGAGACCATCAAGAGTGAGACATCTTTATTTCTAATATAAGAAAAAAATGGAAACAACTGATGTCTTAGAATCAAAGAAATAATAATACTAAAGAAAAATCATAAAAGAAAAAAATGTTTTATAATAAAAAAATTTGAACTCTAGTTAAGGGCATGTATGTGTATTTGTGCACACACACATTATTCTAAAAAATAAAATTCTAACATACAAGTCATTTCTATAATCCTTTAATTTTTGTTACATAAATTTACCTGCACTTGAGATATTTAGACTGTTTAGCTATGCCTTGTTGAAAAACTTTTCCATCAGAAGTTGAATGGCCATAATAAACTATCTGTTAAACACTTCTAATTTATTATTTTACATGAATATATATATATACATATATATACACACATATATATATATATACACACATATATATATATGTACATACAAATATATGTATTTAAAAATAACCAGTCAAACTGATTGGAAAGTATCGAAAAGTCTTCATTATATTCTATGTGAACTACTATTTTTTTGATCATTAAATGTGCTTTCTCAGCTTTCAAAATTAGCAAATGTTTAAAATAAATAAATGACCCAGCAACTGAATATTTCTTCATCTCCTCTCTACCGCAGGTCCCATAAGCAGTATTTTGGTGAATAAATATGGTAGCCGTCCCGTGGTGATGGTAGGAGGTGTGTTATGCTGCTTGGGAATGGTCTCTGCCTCTTTCAGTACCAGCGTATTAGAGCTTTACCTCACCATCGGATTCATTGGAGGTAAGTTTTGTTTTCAGCTTATTATCTTCTTAACATTTAGGTTGTTTGCAAAACTCTGTAAGAAGCATGAACAACGGAATGTTTTTATTGTTTTCATTGCATTTCCTTTTTATGTCAGATGCAACCTTAAATTATTTTCATCTAGTACATTGAAATACTAGCTATGGAATGTTCAGTCAAACTCATTTCAAGAAATGGAAAAAAACAAGTTATCAGATATGTAATGTACAATGATATAAATGTCAAAAACAAAACAACTTTGGTCTGTTTTTACTGTTTTACCCTTTATTCTTCGACCAGTATGATGGTTTTATGGACACTCTGTGACATAGAAATAGCTTCGTTTTAAAAAATTTATTTTTTATTACTTATTGCTCTTTAGAGTATCTGACATATATATAACTTTTAATAGTTTAAAAATGGTGGCAAAAAGATATTTTCCAGATGCACTGATTAAACTTTAACAACAGAATTATCAGTGTCTGCGTTCTCACTAGTGCGTTCAGAATGCGTTAGGTAAGGACAATAAGGGATACCAACTTGTATAGGTATCCCATATTTTCCTTACCTAAAGCATTCTGTTTAAAAGCTCTGTAAGGCACAATTGCCATTAAACGCAAATACTTTAGAAAGACATACTGTCATTTGATTACAATTGTTTCTCATGCATCATGTCTCTGGACTCACATTGGCCTGAATATGTACATTTGGAAAACACTATTTTTATTATCCTCAATAATAAATTGAATCAAACAAATCTCTATTCAGTTTTAAGAAAAATTAGACTTCAAAATATAAAGAGTTTGAATCGTTTTCTTATGCCCACAGATAAAAAAGTAAATATGTTTCCCTTTTTATCAGTTTTAGATCAGTCTAACCTTATGTACTTATGTATCATTTGATGAAAAAAAATTAGATGTATTAAAGCCTGCAGTCATAGTAATGTAACAATCTTTCTCTTTACCTTTCCACGACTCTCTTTATTTTTGATATGGTTGAAACAACTTTTGTAAATGAGAGTCATATTATATCTAAGAATTGTCATAGTGGAGAGAATACCTTCCTTTGTGCAGAAATACTACATATTGAATTTAACCATAAAGTTAGCCTGGGCCTACAAGTAGATGTATTAGGAAAAAGATGATTTTAATATCACTGTACCACAAATATCAGCAGCATTATACATTATTCCAACTTCAGTTCCATTCCTTTGAGTATTGAAGGCTTTGGCACTTTTAGAGTCAACCATTAAAGACACTTTTAAGGGATTTATCTTACGTCATTATTAGCCAATACTTTTTGTTATCTGAAATCAGATGGGTCTTGTTTTTAAACCTGACTCAGTACATATTAGCTGTGCGATCATGGGTAAATGAACCTCTTTATGTCTCAGTCTCTTTGTCTTTAAAATGGGGAAGATGATAGCTCCTTTGGGAGTCATTGGAATGATTAATGTAAAAAATTAATATATGGTACTTAACAGAGTGCCCAACATTTTGTTAATTTTAAATAAATGTTACAAATAATAATAATCACAGTGTCATTGCGTAACATCTTATAGTTCTAGAATTTAGTTGATTTTGGCAAATTCTTATTTTTGTTATTGAGGGAATTAAAGCTTAAGAAGTCTAAGTGTTTTGCCTAGTAGGTAAGTAGTTGAGACAGACTTAGATCTTTTGATTTCAAATCTCATATTTGTTTTGCCATGCCAGAATAGGAAATAGATGGTTGACATCTCCTAAGGAGAACTTAGATTAACATCGGAAGGAAAAATTCCAGGTGATAGAACCAGGTGGAAGGAGCGGGAGATAGAAGATAAGGAAACTTAAAACACAATTTCAAAACACAATTCAAAACACAATTCCTGAGTTTTAATTTTGGTTCTTCTACTTGCCAGCTGCTAACCATAGGCTAGTCAGTTTTTCTTTATTTTTAAGTTGGATCTAATTATACTTATTCTGTATGTCTCATAGGTATAACTGAGGTAGAATCAGAGATCATACTGCCCTGTTGTTACTCTCCAAAGTATGTTCTTGGTTCTTTATAGTCAGCTGCTAGGGACCCTCCTAATCATAGAAAATACTCATATTAAATGTTTGCTTATAAGTATTTGTACTCAGAACTGAATGTCCTAAAATCTAAATACTTAACCACTTTACAATACTGTCTCGATTTACATAAATTGGTAAATGCAAAAGAATTCCTACTTCTATAGCACCTAAAATAATATAGAATAAGACCTAGGCTAAAGAGGAAAGAGAAGTAGTTTATATAATTCAATTTTATGTACTTTTTAAACAAACTTATTCATTACTATTGCTAAATAGTACCTTGGCAAGCTATAAGAAGTAACTCATTTTTCAAAGGCTATACTTAGCACTGCCAAGGAGTTCCCACAACAGTGTGAATTTTTGACTTCTATAAACATTAACCTTTAATCTCTCAAATAAGAATATGTTTCAAGCCAAGAAATTATTTACTTTTTATTTAACACATATGTGCATCTATATCATGAAATGTGGAATGTAAGGGATGCAGACTACGAAATTAATGGCATGAATTTATCACTTTTTTTTATCATTTGCATGATTTTGAAGAAATATCTCTGGGGAGACCTAAGATTGTTTATAAGTGACAAAGTTTTTAGTCTATTCAACTCTGAAAAGAAAGTATTAACATTTTAAATGCAGAGTTTCCCAAAAGGAAAAGAAATCTAATATATATATATGTATATATATATACATATATATATATATACATATATATATTAGAAATCTAATATATATATATACACATATATATGTACATATATATGTGAATAGAAATTAATATATCTGTGGAATTAAGTGATTGAAATTAAGAAATAATAACTTTGTCCTAGCTTCAATCTATTCTCTGATTATTGAAACATCAGTAATTCTTGGTTTTATTTTTGTGTTTTAATGAAAGCAATATGAAACTGTCATGCATATCGAGTGTCCAGTTATGAGAACCTTGTGTTTAAGTGCTGTCCTATTGATATCTATAATTAACAAAAATCACTACCTGCTGTTGCATTTCTGTTCTGCCTTACCCACTTAAATGTACATTTTGAAGAGTAATTTCTTTTGAGAGTGGCATAATGTGTTTATGTTTTTCTATTCTTTCTTTTTTCTTTCAGGTTTAGGTCTTGCCTTCAACCTGCAACCTGCCTTAACAATCATTGGCAAATACTTCTGTAAAAAACGACCCATGGCGAATGGACTCGCCATGGCAGGAAGTCCTGTTTTTTTAAGTACTTTAGCTCCTTTCAATCAGTTTCTTTATAATACTTATGGCTGGAAAGGAAGCTTCTTGATTTTGGGAGCTATACTCTTGAATGCCTGTGTGGCTGGGGCCCTCATGAGACCCCTTGGACCTAAACAAACTAAGTCCAAAAATAAGATCAGTGCAAGAGTTCTTCAACCAGGTGTGAAGAAAAGCCGTAAGAAGAAATCGACATGGAAAATAATTAATAAGTATTTAGATTTCTCCCTTTTCAAGCATAGGGGATTTTTGATATATTTATCTGGAAATGTCATTATGTTTCTAGGGTTTTTTGCCCCCATTATTTTTCTGGCTCCATATGCTAAAGACAAAGGGATTGATGAGTATTCTGCAGCTCTCCTGCTGTCTATTATGGCTTTTGTTGATATGTTTGCTAGACCTGCTGGAGGTTTTATTGCAAACTCCTCACTTGTTCGACCCCGCATCCAGTACTTTTTCAGTTTTGCAATTATGTTCACTGGAGTGTGTCATCTCTTGTGCCCATTGGCAGAGGATTACACAAGCCTGGTGCTTTATGCTGTATTTTTTGGCCTTGGATTTGGCAGTGTTAGCAGTGTTCTCTTTGAAACTCTCATGGACCTTGTTGGTGCTCAAAGATTTTCCAGTGCTGTGGGTCTCGTCACAGTAGTAGAGTGTTGCCCAGTTCTTCTTGGCCCTCCTCTTGCTGGTAAGAATATTTCTTATCAGGGAAAGCAACAAGTATAAAATCAATAGCCATTAACTGAGACTTGATAGTATATAATGTGGTTTGTAATAACGAATACTAATAGCCTGAAAGACTGCGGGTGTGTTAATTTGAGGTTTTATTATGTATTTTTAAACTTTATAATTAGTTGATTTTAGACCTAAATTTGTTTCAGAGCCTGAACCTATGAATTTAAGAATTTAAGTTTGACCATTAGTAGTATAATTTTCAGGTTTTTACCTTTATCAGTTGTTTGATGCTTTTTAAAATATAAAAATAAAATGTTACTTTTTATTTTATCATTGGTGAATAAATTTCTCTTCTGTTTACATTAAAATGAATCAAAATTTTAAAATAATTATCTCAAAAGTTCAGGATCTATTTTCTTATTGGAATACATTGGTTATCTTAATATGGAACTCGTTACATGCCTAAGAAAGGAATACTTTTATAATATCACCGATAGGAATATCTATATACATATGGAATGTAAGAATAAAGGGAGATCATTTAAGGTCATTTTTTTGGTCACATACTTACATTCACTATTTATAAATTATGAAGACTACCTTTAAATTTTAAAATCTGAAATTTTTTCATTGATGCCTGCAAAAGTTTCTGTGCTAAATAACCCAGGAAGGAGACTAAGTAAAGACACATGTGTAAGTTCATTTTTGAAATTAAGACTGTTTAGTCTTTAATGTTATAAATATTAATCCTCTTTGTGGGCCAGTCTTTTCCAGTAATCACTGTATACTAAACAGGTATTCATTTAGACTCCTGGCCTGCCCCCTAGTGGTCACAGTAACTGCCAGGCTAAATGTAAATTTATAAATTACTTCCTATATGACAGTAAAGAATCATTTTTAAAGTGGAAAAATTCATGTTTGTTTTTCACTTGGTCAGAAATGAGTTGTGTAGTTGTCTATTTTCTATTCACCATGGTTGTCATGTTAACTAGCACAGATGTTTTGAATGGTATATCTCTCAATGTGGATATACCATGGCACCAAAAGAATTTTTAAAAAGAGCAAAAGCCAGTAGATCTTATTTATCAGCCAACTGATTTCATTATCTAAGTACAATGGGCCTATCTTTCCATACAGAAGTAGTTTTACTGAATGGGTTTTAGAAGGCTGTTCATTCACATTAAAATTCTTGATATCAACAGAGAAATTTGTATTTCACCAGACATGGTGGGATGAAAAAATATCGTCTCAGGTCATGGAATCAGAATTGGCTATTTATACTTGTGCTGAGAACTTGTATTAATAATATTTATATCAATTTTAGTATCCTTAAATGCTTATTGTATTAATATTGCCAAATTATTGTACCAGTGGTGGCAATGGCAGTAATTGATTTGCAGCTCCCTGATGAAGCTCTCAGACTTTAGCCATAATATATCTATTTTTTTGTTTTGTCTTATTTCTGCCTCCTGTTACCCCTGACACTCCATGACTTTTAGACAGGCTTCTTCTCTATAGCATCTGGTATCTGCTCGAGTGGTGTCTGGTACATTGTAGGTACTCACTAAATACTTTTGAATGAATGAGTATCATTGAAATTACTTCTTAAACAGTTGCTGCTGCTCCTACTACTCTTGTTAGTAGAACAGTGAAAGATAGGGACAACATGATTTTTATTTTAATCTTTTTCAGCCCAAACCGTCACTGCTACACTTACAAAGAACTGAAGTTCTGGAAATCATATATGGTTTCTCGATGATGATGAAAAACTCTCAAAACCTTTAGAAAGTATGTTGATATGGCAGCCCAAAGTGACACTAACTCTGATGGGGCAATAGAACAAATAGTTATTACTTAGAAGTATAACAATCATTGAATGAATAGGAATATTTGACTCAAGGTTAGAATGAAAAATTAAGTTATACAGTTTTTGTTATGCTTATATATGTCATACTTAAATAAGCCTATTTCACCATTTACCTAATGTTTAAAACAAGTAACTTTGTTCAAATAGATTTTACAAGTAGCTAAATTTAATACTGAGCCACTGACTAGATTTTAGTTATAATGATAAAGATTATGAATAAACAAATAAGTCTATATCAGAATCACCTGGAATACACATATGACAAACAATATATATTTGTATACACTAAATTTTGTTGATAATAATTATTGTTAACAGTTAAATGCCTGTATAAGCAAGACTGTAAACTGAAATATTTTATAAAGTCAGTAAACCTTCAGATTATATAACACCAGGCTAATTGTTTCAATGTTTTAATAATCAAATGGAATAAATATTTTCTTTCTGGTTAGTTTGGTCTTAATAATTTAGATTCAGGTAAAGTTAAAAAAAAATAAAATAAAAAACTATGATTGGCCCAAAAAGTGACATAACACTTAACCAAGAGGTTTGGTGAAGCTATTTTACAGTGCAGTTAAGAATGTGAGATTCAGACAGACCTTAGTTAGAGTCTAGATTCTGCCACTTAGTATGCCTCTCTTCCTATGGTCAGATTGCCTCACAGTGCTCTTGTAGGATTAGATGAGATATTGCAAATAAAGTGTTTAGCTTAGTGCTGATCATAGAAAAAGCATTTAGTAAACATTATGCTCTGTCAAGAACTTTATAAAGCCTTTGGGTCTTTCCTAAAGAATGTAATGTTTCCTTCTTTATTGAAAAGATAAGAAGCATGGAAATGAAGCAGTCTCAATGTATATGTTGTAAACAGATAGATAAGTATATCTATTTCTACATGTATGGATATAAAAAATATACCTCACACATGTATGTATTTATGACTATATACCCAAAAACATATATACATATTTTGTCTTGCTTGTACATTTTTATTGAGAGATGGTAATAATTTTCAAGGATTTTCCTGTACTGGTAATATAATGCTGCGTGTGCCCATTCATACGTGCCTTTATTTGCATATATAGACGTCATAATCTGGAATATTTTTTCTTTGTTAAAGTCTCATTTAATATTAACTTACATAAGAAATAAGTACATACTTTGTGGAAGAACTTATTTGAAAGTTTTATCATTTATGGCTTTTTTTATTGTGCTATCTTAAAAAATGCTTTTTTTGTCTCTTAGGTAAATTGGTGGATGAAACTGGAGAATATAAATACATGTATATGGGCTGTGGAGCTATTGTGTTCCTATCAAGTTTGTGGTTGCTCATTGGCAATGCTATAAACTATAGATTGCTTGCAAAGGAAAAGAAGTTGGAAGAAGCAAGGAAGAGAATGCATAAGCTTGAGGCCAGAGAATCTGAATCTTTGAGCAGATCTAAACACTCTGTTGTTAGTGTCAAAAATAAGAGATCAAGGAGTAAGAGCTCAGAAAGAGAAACTAATATATAACAAGAATCCCATCTCTGATTTCAGTGTTTATGACTTCCTTAGGAGCACTTCTTTTTTTTCAGAATATTGGAGATATTTTTAGTTGAAATAAGATGTTACAATTAAGGATGGAGATGAGATTTTTCTCAATGGCAGATTTTAAATGTTTTCTTTTAAAACATTTTTTGAGAAGTTAAATTTTGAGATTATGTATATAAAGAATCCATGCAATGGGTTTATTTCTATACAAGACTCTGGTTGTGGCAGTTAAAAATAATTTTAAAGTCCTCCAGTAACTTCCAGTCTTGGTTATAGAGATTTGAATTTCAAACCCCTGGTTTAAATAGTTATAAGAATTATGTTTAATCCTATAAGAGTACGCTCTCCATATTTCATTTTTTTGCTATTAAAGTGTGAATTGGAATTAAAGAAAAATTAATTTCCCCACACACGCATGTATGTGTGTGCCGGTGCATGCGCACACATATATACACACAAACATACACAGCATCTGGAGAACAAAAGACAAGTTCAGAAAAATCCATGAAGGAAAAAAGAAATGCATTATATCAGTATACTACTTTACAATGTGGATTTTAAAGATAAGGATATGAGTGAAAATGGGGTGATCTTGATTTGAAAATAAAACTAAAAAAAGCATCTCAAAATATAAAATAAAATTGAAGAAAAGAAGAAACTCTATTTTTAACCATTATTTATAAGCACTGTTAGATTTGATTAATCCATGCACATGATTTCTTTGAGGGGGCTATTAGTACTTAGTGCTAGAGACTAGAACCCTCAAATAATTTTCAGGATTTTTACCTAATATGTAAATTAAATTAAAAGCCTAAATAGCTCCAAGCAATAAGCTATGACTATTGATTTTAAAAAGGATTTTTGTTAGTAATCCAGAAAGTAATAACCAGGGTTTTTTTTTTTTTTTTTTTTCCACCAGAACTCTATCAGACTCATTTTCATATTGAGATATCAAAGTGGAATCAACTGGAATCCCAGTAGAGAGGCTTATAGACAGGCCAAATTCCATTTTTTCCCAACACATAGTGGTGATTAGGAGGTTACTCTTATGAGTAATCCCTCTAGGTGAAGCTGACTTAGAGTGGGAGGTGCTTTTAATGAGCCCTATAAACATTCTCATTTACCTCCCTTCCTCAAAACGTGAAAGCAAAAAGTAGAAACTACAAATTGGCTTTTTACTCAGCTACTGAATATGCCTCACGTCATAGGAATGGTAGCACTTGAAAATTCTGCCTTCTACTGATAGGATTTCCAGGTGCCTGTGAACATAACTAAACCAAGAGACTGTTAAAAGAGGCTTCTAGAACTGGAAGTTGTCTGTGGCTTGGTATATATTTGTGATACCAAGCAAGAAGCCTTCAATACTGCAACCCAGGTTAATTTAGCAGTTTCTCGTTTTCATAACTATGTGAAAACATCTGGGACTCTGAATCACTCTTTAATACAGAGGCATATGATAGTTGTGTGCATTCAGAACTATAAATATCATTTTGACTAATAAAGGGGTTTTAAACAAGAAAGAAATTGTGCACTATGGCTAACATAAATATTTACATCTACAAACCTGAAGTTTAAATTATGATTATGATTACTAAAAAACATTTAGTGCTTGTATTGAAGCAATATCACTCTTAAGATGTCTAAAGGAATTTGCCATTCTTTTTTTTTTTATTGTAGTTGAGGCAAGTGATATTCTTATTTGCTGTAAGATTGTACCTGGATATCAAGCTTTTGTGATAGTTAATATTAAAGATTTGATTTGTAAAATTTATGCACTGTTTAAGCAAGTGGCTCATATTTAGGAAGCTATATAAAATTTCATATTTCATTAACATTTACTTTTTGCATATGAAGAGGTATTTGGATTTCTAAAATATTAAGTAAAACAATATGTGCCAATACCACATGTAAATTAATCAGGGAAATGTGGCAGTATATGGCTGTTTTTAATTTAATTTCACCCAATCTTGAATCTGGAATGAGCTATTTTCATATTATTAGTGCTTTTGTATTCAATCGTTGACTCGTCATAAGAAATTCAACATCATAAATCATGTAGTAGCTCTCCAATCTTAAACATTTCCCCAAAATGTCTTGAATACATTTAAGTTAATATAGATATCATACCCCTGGGGGAGAAAACAGCAAAGTAATTATGGTAGGGTTTTAGGTCTAAGGCTATAGTTCTTTTTATCACCTGCTGATAGAGACATGCTGGTGGGTGCCTTTCAGTGGCTTTCTTCATGAAAGGGGATTTATTTACATACTGATGAATTTCTTGTCAAGTCAAAAACAGTTTGTATTTATTTCATTGCTCTTTGGTCATTTTCATTAACTTTTAATTTCTAACACTGATTATATTGTTAAAAAAGAAAGGGAAGGGAAATTACATATTCAAAGCACATGATATGATATATAAAGTCATGCCTGGCAGTAGCACTGCACAAAGTCACAAATATGCACACATAAATTTCTGTACATAAATGTTGAAAATTAAGTCAGAACATACTTAAAACAGTGACTTAAACTCACATACAGGATTCACAATTGTTCCAGGGCAAAATAAATTTTTCTATTTGTTCATTCTTCCCACTCCCTTGAACTTTTTAGAATATATGTTCTTTTAACGGAATTATTCAAAGATTGAGAAGAGAATATCAACAGAACATTCATTATTATATAATCACATAAATGGAGGAAATATGATTGGCTTCTGTGTCTGTACCAATTAGTGCAGAACATATACATTCCCCTAGGATATAAAGCAAAATCAAGATATAAAGCAAAATCAGAGAACACCATCAAAATCCTTTTTTGAGTCCTCTTCCTCCATCATGGAATTTTACAGAAGGAAGGTTATCATAAACCAGGGTACCAAAATAATTCATGATCAAAGTAATTCAAGTTTATTTGGCCATTTGTGATAACTGAGCACCCCATATTTTTCACCATTTAACCTTAAATATGCCTTTACTAATTTATAAATAGAATATTAGGTATAGACTTGTCCTGACCTATTCACACCCTCTTTCTCGATCCTTTTTGGGTCTAATCAGCACACATTGAAGAGGCAGTGCGTCAGGCTCTAGTGTACTTCATATTGAAAGACAATGTTTTCTCAATGTAAATTCACATGATTCCTAAGTTTCATTTCCTTATTACCAAGTTCCAACCACCCTATCTCACAACTCATGTCACTTTTTTAGGGTTTTGATTTCTACATATCCATTGTGTATGACCTCATGTTTGAGAAATGCATTTAAAAGCTGAGAGGCCCCATTATCTGTAATTATAATGCTTGTATAATCAATATCATAAACTATCAACTGATAATTGAAAAAGGAATAATTTGTTAGCTCATGTCATTTTCTGTAGTTCTGATTTTTCTCTTCTTTGCTATCAATTGTACACAATAGATCTTAACACTTTACATGGTCCTACGATCTGGTTTATTTTAGTCTCTGTCCCCACCACTTTCACCTAATTTGATTTATATTCATTTCATGGAAGCATTATTGTAGTAGTATTAAGAATCATAATTTTAGACCTCTATCTTAAGAGGAAAAGTTGTATTGGAAAAAGAATTTTTGACTTTAGTGGACCATATGGGAATTTTTTTAGGCCAAATTATTTCTTCTATCTCAATCCCATGCTGCTTAACCCCACCCCCTCCTCTATACCTATATTAAAAAATATATATTTTCTTTTCATTGTTTTTCATGATGTCTAGCTCAACTTCTCTTGCTAATGATGAGAATTTTTACTATAGAATTATGGACATCTTTAACCTAATTAGGGACATTTTTACCATAGAATTTTTGTTTCCTTGGAGGGCTCAGTTTACTTTCCCTAGTTACACACTCTCCATAAAGCCTTCCTATATACTTGTTAGTAAAGTGTATAATATTCAGTATTTCACTAGGTTATTATTCAGTGATTATAAATCCATTATCTTTCAGCAGGTATTTTCCTTCACATTGTAAAATGAGCTTTTCATTTCTCTGTTTTAAATTCAAATATGACAAAATAAGCTAGAGAAGCTCTGTATGAAAACACTGGTACTCAACACTCTGTTAAGGTTAGTAAAAGTTCTGGTCAGATGAACAAAAATGTAATTCTTACCTCATACGAATGTCAGTGAAATTTTAAAACATTCTAAGGCTTTCATTCTAGGTTTGTTGTTTTTTTATGTGCATCTAAAAAGATTTTTAACTTAGACCCATTCAGATAGCTTGTTTGTTAGAGTACAAATTTCTGATAGACTATTTAATCAACTTTATTTTTTTACTACATGCTATTCTAAGCAAAGTATGAATATTTCTGGATTTAGTGAGAAAGGACATGTAAACTGTAGTGCTTATTTTCTAAGCATTATATGTAATTTTGATTTGTATTCTATTTTGTTTTGAATATATTTGCATATCAAAGATACATTTGATTAATTTGTTTATCTTCTCAGCTCTCTAAATTGAAATCAAATGTTGAATTCATCTGTGAGAGTATATATTATGTCAGCAGTTTTGAATATATTTTAAAATTCATCTCTTTCTTACTAGACTGTGAGCTCCTTGAGGACAAGGATGTTATGTTAATTACACTAACAACTTCAATGTCTAACAAAATGCCAGGCACAAAATAATTCCTTTGTGAAATAAATTGATGGATCTAGATTATTAAATGAATACTACAGTATTGTATGATGCAAGATGAATGTATATTAGAATTGTCTGGCTAATTTTCAACGTAAGACGTAGAAAGTAAACACCTGTAGCATTTTATCTTAAAATTGCTAGTCTATTTTGAAGATTTCATTTTTTTTGTCAGTAAAGATTCTATGCAAATGCTGAATTATGCAGCAGCTAAACTTCATAGTACATATTAACTAGTTTTACTTTCTTTACAAAATCAGAAGTGCTCTATTTAGGATTATTGAAGACAAATGCTGACAATCATTTTATTGACTAAAGGTGCTACTTATTTTC